TGTATGTCTGTCACGAAATTCCCTAGCTCCTCGGGATCCGCTTGGAGGACGGAAGCCTAACAGAGCAGAAAACAATTTGGTGTAAGGGAGCAATGTCTAAGGTGTTTCCTGCATACATGACGTGGGCGGAGGCCCGCCCAGAATGGGCGGGCGCGCTCTGAAGTGTACAGCATTTTCTACAAGTCCTCATAATTCGGGCCGGGGAAGTCTTAAAGAGCCGGAAAAAGGTGGATAGAGGTGGGTGGAGGAGTGGAGGCCAGCTGTCATCGGTGGGCGGGGCTTGACCAAAGTGGGCGGAGTTTGCGACGAAAATTCATAACTCGGCTCCAAGAAGTCCCGGAGGCCGGGAAAAAGGGAGTAGAGGTCGGCGAAGGAAAGGAGGTCAACTGCTATTAGTGGGCGGAGCACGCACCTAAGTGGGCGGAGTTTGCCAAAAGTGTCGCAATTCGGTTCCAAGAGGTCCTAGAGATAGGGGAAAACGGGGTTAGAGGTCGGCGAAAGGAAGGGGGCCAAATGCTATTGGTGGGCGGGGCACGCACCGAAGTAGGCGGAGTTTGCCACGAGATTTATTGTCCGGAAGCAGTCCGGAGACCGGGAAAAAGAGGATAATGGTTGACGAAGAAAAAGAGGTTGAAAGCCGTCGATGATGGAGCGGATAGAATTTAGCTGAGAATTCAGATATTCGTGGTGTATCAAGCCAAATTTGAAAATTTTCGTCGCACCATCAAAATTCGCCGCAGATCTGTGTTGCGCGCGCAATGCGTGCGGCGCCAACTGGTATATATATATATAATATATATATATATATATATATATATATATATATATATATATATATATATATATATATATATATATATATATATATATATATATATATATATATATATATATATATATATATATATATATATATATATATATATATATATATATATATATATATATATATATATATATATATATATATATATATATATATATATATATATATATATATATATATATATATATATATATATATATATATATATATATATATATATATATATATATAATAATATATATTATAAGATAAGGGATCGATTCCGTGTGTTCCGTAGTGCTTCTGTAGTGCTGTGTTGATTCATACCAGCTGTCTCCACTCAGGCGCATCCATGCATGCTTGCGTGTGTGGTGCGCTCTGTGTGTGTGCGGTTGGTATCCTGCATGTCGGCACAGCCAAAAGCTTGCATTCAAGTGACTGGGAAGTACATGGGAGGCGATCGGGACCGCCTCCAAGAATTGAATATACGAAGCGATTTTTTCGTTTCGCGCGCCATGGACGTGAGGCGTTTTGCATGCAAAGCGGCCGAGAACTAAACAGGGCAAAACTGAAAAATTTGTATGCTTGTAAATACCTCTTCGAAATGCACACCACCACACTCTCTACTAGAGTACTCCAGACACCTTTAGAAACAAGGAAAAGTTGTTACTACTGAATGCTGGGTGAAATTTCAGTGACATCGCCTGGCATTTTCAAATCTCATGTTAGAATAGGTTCTGAAGGCGCAATTTCACGCATTCTTCATTTTTATTATTAATATGAGCTTTCCTTTAGATGGTACTGGTATCCTGATCACATCACATATCTCTTCTACGAATTTTTCACTCAAGAATGACGCAAAAAACTTTGCGTACCTGACGGAATGAGCTTTTGTTTGACTGTTATCTTGTTCTTCATGATCGAATAAGGGATTTAAACGAGTCATTTCAAGGTCAAAAACTTGTTTGTGAAATATTTGGCAGTTGATGGACTGGATAGGTACTTTTGTCCTGCCTATGAGTAAGACTGAGCCTACTTGACCATCATGGGAACCTAAGGCTAGAAATGGACATTCTACTGACGGTGACCTAATTAGTAAAGGTCGATATGAACAATTTTAGTGAGATTTCCAGTTTGCTGACGGTGGGAACTTTGTGGTTGTGATTCAATTGACAGCGCGTTTCTGCCACTGATAACTAATTCAGAATAAAACTCCCAGGAATTAGAAAGATCATAATTCGCAGACAAGTGTAGTAAGTTAGGACTGAAGTAAACGTTGAAATAGAAAAGTCGCGGGTTCCATCTAAGTTTGCTTACTTTCAAGCTGTCGGTCACCATTGACCGACATCGTCCCATGTGACAGACTGCCTGTCGGTCAGCATTGACCGACATCGTCGCCAACGTGTTAAAACAAGCCCTTTGTTTCCGCTTCAGGATAGCGTGGCTAACTACCTGGAGGTCTATCCTAGCAGAGCCTGGCAAGCTACTCGTGTGCCTTCAATATGCCGAAAACAGCAATATGGATGGGCCTCATTCCCCTGAACCTGAGGGAGCCCCCAATACGGCAGCGTTGGGTAGGACCGCTCGGGAGAGGCTGCTAGAATCTCAGGGCCCGGATAGGCTGCCTAAACGAAGAAGGACTAAGATGGCGATCTGTACTTTCAACGCACTTGGCCATAAACATCGATTCGTACGAAAGCCTTACGACCCGAATCGGACGTTTGAGATTGAGAAGATGTGGTTCAACTCCTGCTTTGACAATCTTCGTCGCCTACGCACCAACATCCAGCTACGACGAAGAAGAACACGAAGCATTCTATATGGAATTGGAGAAGTTCTACAGGGAAGATCATACCTTCTTCAAGGTCATCGTCGGCGACTTCAACGCTAAGATTGGCCCAAGAAGAACGGCTGAAGAACTTCACATCGGTACTCACGGAATGGAATGGAATGAGCAGAGGTCCGTTGGACTTGGGTGTCACCTGATGAACAGTTCCATATCGAAATGGACCACGTTATCTTCAAATATGAATGCTTTGCGTGAGTTGTACCGAAACTCTACACGGGATCGGACCATCGTCTCCTCCGCGCAAGATTCCACTTCTCGATGCGTGTTGAGAGAGCAGCAAAGTTCAGGAAGCGAAGCCCCAGGACAGTCATCAACTGGGACCACTTCGCTTCCCTCGTCAGCTTATGGGAGGATTCCGTCATCGAAAACATCGACGAGGAGTACTATCGGCTCGTTGAACATCTTCACGATTGTGGCAAGAAGGCAGAGAGTTTGAAAGTCACCAAGGGACGTCTGTCTCCGGAAACTCTCGAACTGATACGCCAGCGTGGAGCCGCACGAGCTGCAGGCAATCACCGACTCACGTCCGAGCTTGCGAAGCTATGCAGAGAGGCGATAAAGGAAGATCTCAAGGAGCGAAGAGCAGCAGTATTAGCTGAAGCAGCAGAGGCTGGGAGGAGCATCCGCAATGCCCGCCGAAGCTTTGCCAGCTACAAGACCAAGATGACCTGCCTCCGACGTCCGGATGGAACAGTTACTGCATCCCGAAGGGCAATGGAGAAAGTCATCCACGACTTCTACTCGGATCTCTTCGATAGCCATGTCCATCTGCCCACTTATCAACTGCAACAGGATGGATACGTCGTCCCCTCAGTACTCTCTTCCGAAGTCCGACACGCCATCAAGTCGGTGAAGAATCGTACAGCACCCGGTCTCGACAGGGTCAAACCGGAACATCTGAAGAATGCGCCGCCAGTCATCATCAAAACTCTGGCTCGACTCTTCACGCGCTACCTGTCGGAATGCAAGGTACCCACTCCGTGGAAAACCAGCAGGACCGTGTTGCTGTACAAGAAGGGAGACCTGGGACGACATTGGCAACTATCGCCCAATCTGCCTGCTGTCTGTAATCTACAAGCTATTCACTCGAGTCATCCTTAACAGGATCGGCAGAATACTAGATGAAGGACAGCCATGCGAGCAAGCAGGGTTTCGAAGAGGGTTCAGCACGATCGACCATATCCACACGGTTACAAGACTCATTGAAGTTTCACGAGAGTACAAGATGCCGCTTTGTCTCACGTTCATCGACTTGAAGAAGGCCTTCGACTCTGTGGAGACAGAAGCGGTCATCGAAGCCTTGGGCAACCAGGGCGTCCCTACTCAGTACATCAAGATTCTTCGTGAGCTCTACAGCAACTTTACGACCAGAATCTCACCATTCTACAAGGAGGTCATCATCGACGTCAAGAGAGGGGTTCGACAGGGCGACACCATCTCGCCCAAACTCTTCAGCGCCGCTCTCGAGAACGTCATGCGTCAACTGGAATTCGTTCGTTCTATGCTGAAAGAAATGCCTCCCCTGGGAAATTCTGACGACAGCTTCCGTTCAAGCGGCTTCTAACTTAACCCTGAAACCAGTCAGCGTATTAGTAGTCAGTACAGACATTCCAGGGACCCAATCTGTATTCGATGCGGAGAAACTTGAGCTTTTTTTTGGTTGATCACGGCCTACCTTGGCTGACGTCTCCCTTCCCCTAAGCCACATTCCGAATGCGCACCAAATTCAGTCCGTCTGAAGCTTACAAAAGCTAGTGTAACCTCTTTTGCAACCGGACCGTTCCCCCTCCCACTTAAGATACTAGCATTGAATGTTGTTACGTCATCAGTGCTTTTTGATGGAACGGAAACCTGGTCAATGCGAAAGTCGGACATGACAAAGTTGGCCGTAACACAAAGAAATGAGGAAAAGAGGCCAAGGTTGACAGTGCTGGACCGTTGGAGTAATGAAAGAATAAGATCACTTACGAAGCTAAGGGACTGGACAAAGGAAGCGAGTCAGAAGAAAGTGCTATGAGCGAAAAAGATACGTGAAATGGATGAAAGCGAATGGGCCCGCAAGATAACGAACGACGTGGATTTCCATACGATTACGCGAAATAAAGAAGACGAGGACATCCTTACACTCGATGGCGCGACGATCTGACGAAGCAGATTGGGCAGAACTGGTGGAGTGTGACAGATGAAGAATGCAGACAAGCCATGATACGGCATCCGAATATGAATTGATTCCGTAATAAAACTTTGAACTTTAAATCTTCGTCCATCGTTATCAGCTGCTGATAGTTCAGATCTTTCCTCTTTAGTTTTTCTTGTAATTCTTTAGGGTTGCAGATGAATTCGAACCGATTCGGCCGCCTTTTGCAAGTATTCTGGATTCCAATGCATTGTCTATTATGATGGTACTTCGAATCATTCTGTGGTCACTGTTCGTGGCAATGATGTTTTCACCGATTACGCTAACATCTTGAAAATCGTTGGGAAACACATAATCAATCTGCTTTTTTACTGCTCCGTTCGGGCTTTTCCAAGTCCATAATCTTTTTTCAGGCTTCATGAAGAATGTATTCATGATGCGAAGCCTATTTGATGTTGAAAAGTTGATCATCTGTTCACCGCGCTCATTTCTTTCTCCGTACTCGGATTTCCCCAAATCTCCGCCATCACTTTCAATTTAGCCAGCAGATGCGTTCATATCGCCTTGGACAATTGTGTGTGTTGATGGAATCCGTAAGGCTTCATTTATTTCTTCATAAAACTGTTCTACTTCTTCATCGTCATGCTGGCTTGTTGGCGCGTATACCTGTATAATCTTCATAGTTCGTTTCCGTCCAACTTTCAGAAGTAGTATTGCGACTCTCGGTGATCTGATTTCACAGCTTACGAATCAGTGGAACAACTCTTCTTTTCACAATAAATCCGACCCCTCCCGTGCGGGCACATTTGGAAACGACCTGCCAAGGAAAACCTGATCTCCTGTATGCCATTTTGCAACTATGTCTTCGTTTCGTCTTGTTTCACTTACTCCTATCACGTCGGCTTTAACTTTTCTCGTCTCCTGAATGTACACATCAGTAAGTGCATCAGATGATAACGTTCGGACGTTGTGACAAGCAATATATTTTGACAGTTCCATTGGCCGTAGTCCTTATGACGTCCTGAGCATCCGCAAATCGTGGGTAGGTGTCAAGCCGACGCCGGAGCCTGACCCCATCGATTTGGTTCCAATCTTCTCTGTTTCGGTTCGTAATATACTGCGCATTTGGCACCCATAAAAATGCTTTTCCTGGTTAGGATCAAGGAGCCATGACCTGCTATCAACCTCGTTGAATTCATCGGGCTCGGACACTTTAGATTACTCTGTATCAGATCAATATATGAACTACAAACATTCTATGTGGAATTTTTGAAATTCTCCTTGTTCAAAAAAAGAGCACCCTGGGCAAGAGGACTTGACATTAAAAGTTGTTCCTCTTGTCAACTGATGCGATTGCGACTTTGCGATTCAATTGGGGATGCTTAGTGGAAGCACATCAAATATTCAATAGATCTGGACAATATATGCATTTCACCCAAGATCAAATTCGTGGGAAGGTCAAATGCCTCGTAACTGCTCGAGGTGGTCAATCCCTAGATGCATTGTTTTTATGAGAAATTAAGCTTATATGAAAGTAACGGGATCTTTGGAGGAATACTATTACCATATGAGTACGAGTACGTAGTAAAGAGTCATTGGTTTTCCCGGTAAGAATGAAACGGGTTGGCTGGATTTCACAGCTGATGGAGGGGTCCCAGAAAAAATACATTGGTCTTCAGGCGGGGTAGTTGGTAGCAGGTTTCAGATGGTCAGGTTACGTTCTCTCTTTGGCCCTTGCATTATGTAGCGCAGGCTCACTAGGGTACCCTTGATGGTCATTTCCTGTCGTTTCTAAGTGGCGTTCCCTGGCATATCTTCGTACACACTTACTACCGCTCTTCCATCCGCTGCAGCCGGTCCGGCATCTGCGGCTCCCCATCACTAAAACCAATGTTGTAAGTGACCCGCAGCTTGGACCCGAACCCTGTAGAAAACATGTGAGGAATTGTGAGGCAGATCTATGCTGTTGGAGAGCAGTAAAATACCATTAAAATATAGAGAAAGCCTCTAGTATGCTATGAAGACCTCGCGGTACCATCTGGATGCTCTTCAACAGTAGAAAGCTCAAATCGTATTGGGAACTTTCAATAAGCATGCCCACAGAATACCAAATGAGTTGACAATAAGAAAGTTTCACTGCTGAAGTCCTCTTGTTTGTTGTAGAAAAAAGTGGACTGTAGTCTCAGGGCATGAATTTAATCACTGAGATCCCAAGTATTAAACCCTTATAGTAACTGAGAACTCTAGGGTGCATCTGTACTTTTGAAACGCAGTGTTTTTGTCATGTTTTGTAGTAAGGGCTCTAGCCATTTACGGCAATTCGAAAAGGGACCTTCTGATTCAAAGTATCAGCCACCAATCCTGATTGGGGAGACTCTTCTGAAGGAGAGTGGAAAAGATGACTCACCAGAGAGTGTTCATGAACTGACCCCATATTCAGACCCAGTTAATGTATCAAAGGCTTCAGAGGGTTTCGAGAGGGCAATGTGCTAGACTTGCTTAATGCTAGCAACTATGTAGCTTATTCTTCTGTTGGATTGTACGTTATTATATTTCATTGAGTATACTACGTGATTTTTCGTCTGTATTCCACAAATCTCAATTTTTCAGTCACGGTAAGCGGTTTGAGCTTGAGGTTAATATTTTTGTGGGGACTAGAAAACACTTCCGTACTATGTATAAATCGCTTAGTACTTGCCTGCCTGCCTGTTACGATATTAATGGCAAGGTTCTCCACCCTGACACCGCATGGAGAACGATGACAATGTGGCTATCACTAAGAAAATGTAACTCCGAGGTTCGACCGATTTATGACTCAACAGAACTTCATCAATAAAAGAAAAAACCGGCTCTCTTCGTTTTCAGCTTCAAGTCCGAAGGAAAGCAGCTAAGGTGGGCATGGTTTCGCTATAGGTTACTCCACGAAGTGGGCTTTTCGTAGCCTACTTGGTCATATTCAGAAATCGCTAAATGTAGTTTTGGCATGGGGTGCAAAAAAGTGGAACGAACTTATAGGACAACCTAATACAAGGTGGTACAGTGGCAGCTGGGAAACAGTGGAGGGAGGAGAGGATCATAAAGGAGGGGAGAAGGGATGGAAAGTCTCCGCAAGAGGTTCTGGCGGTTGCCCAGTCTAGTTTATTATAAAATGAAGTGTAGAATATTGAGGTCTTTTATATTTGTGTTGTTATATATGGAAGGAACGAAAAGTTACAATATTTTGAAATCGAACATAGAGGAAGAAAACAAGGTGAAGGACGCAACCTACTTCTTGAACAAGGATTCAGCTCCATGGAGGCTCGCAATCTCGCCAGCTACACAGATCATTTTGTAGCTGAACTCAGTTTTTGTGAGGTCTCCGATATTGACTCCGCAAAATAATTCTTCTGTGTCCTTGTGTATAGTTCGACTGAAAAGAACGAAACGAAACATGCATATTCGAGAGGAATGATTTCGTGCATTCCATATCTTCGTTTTTGCTATGCCTTCTTTTCTGCAAGAGGTTGCCAGAGAAGCCCGCTCGGGAACGAAATCGACTCAGACGACATGAAAAACTCAAGTATACAGTGCGAGCAATTACATTTTTCCATAGGTCCCACATGTGGGTGGATGAGGAGAGAGAGATCGACAATTTCCCGCGGCTTAATGCTAGATCGTGGTCATTTCATCGCTTTCACTCACTCGAAAATAGATTTCGCAAGAGACATCGGACACGAAGACTGGACGATCTATTCACATTTGAGCAATCAATGTCTAACAGTAAGCAAGAATTGTCAACTATATAGAAGGTAAGTATTTTTTCAGTGCATATCCAGAAACGCTGTATACCACGCGAAATGTAGTCATTTCGAAAGATGAAAACGCAAACGACTCAAGCAGTCTTGGGGTTGCTGGCCTATACTAATGAATTCGAGAGATGTTGTAAGCGCCGATACTTGCAAATTTGCACTTTTCTCGAGCCCCTTCTCAGCGACTGTAATCTTGCAAGAATCCTACCGCTACAATGAACCGATGATCATTGTTGGCAGCACCACGCCAAAAACATCTACTCCTGAATGATAACGAAATACTTAGAAAGCTGGATGACGCGGACAGTCGGGGTGAAGTTATCTCTCCCAAAAATAAAAACGGACGATGACAACAACATCAGCAGCAGCCAATATCATGCTACCCTTCTTATGATACCAGTTTTGCTCCGCCCGCTATCGCGCGCATCACACGGCAGGCTTTAGCGAAACTGGAGGACCCATGGAATATCAGCATGAGGTACTCCATTAACTATTGAATGTGTTAGACCTTTCCCAGTTTCGCTGAAGTCCATCGAGAATACGCGTGATAACGTCTGGAGCTGAACTGGCATATTGATCTCACAACTGTAAACATCCAGCATTCTTCTTGAATTCAGATAATTTAGCGGTGAATAGGATTGCTGTCAGTCTCAAAATGAAAATGAAATATGCCTATTTACATAAGTGAGGAGCTAAGGCTTATCATTTATTTACATTCACCATTATTTAGAACCCCGAAAGGATTAGCGGTTTAATGAGTTTGGGCTTTCTTGATAGAAATGAAACTTATCATTTGCTGAAGACTTGATTGAGTTTATGCAATCGACTGCTATTAAGTAAGCTGGTCATACAATGATACAATGTGCACGTACCACTACAAATAGAATTTGTAAGTAGGGACGCTCTAGTGTCAGCGCAAGCTACGTAACGACTTTTGCGTTCTGACGCGCCTTATCAGCCCTTATCAGTTGTAACCACTTTCAATCACGCTACCAACAATGTTCCCGTCCC